AAAGATCTTGTTAGAGGCAGAAACCTAGAGGCACCACACATCTGAATGGATTAAAGTATCTGAGGATCGAAGAATATAATTAGGAAACAAAGGGCTCTTTAAATACGGATTGCCGATAAGGAAAATCTATCTTAAGCAGCGCCTTTCCATGTCATCACTTATAACCACAATCGAGATGATTCCAAGAAAAGTTTCAATGTGTAGAATCCTCCACACACCATTTGTACATTCAAGTCTCCTAACTCCCAGATAAAGTGCAAGTTTCTGCTATTCATTTCAAGTGATTTCCAATTCAGGCTTTTTCCATCTACCACATCGCGTTTACCTCTTCTCTCTCAATTCATACCCCACAATTTCCTAAACAAGTGTGATAACCAAAGCATAGAAGTTCCAAGATACCGATCACATCCCAAAAAATGAGCAACAAAGATATGAATAACAGGTTGAAATTTAATCCTCATAAGTAATTTTTAAGAATCAACGAATTCTTTTATACATCAAAAACTTCAAAGTCAATCGACAAGCAATAATGTGCATTCGGCTGAAGATCAGCTCTTTCCTTCATCTAAATTGTAGAGATATCAGCAAAATAAGAGTTTCCAAGTTAAGATCATTGGCTTACATCTCATGGTAAAACACATGCTGCAACCTACATTCTGTATTCGGCTGAGACAGCTAACCTGTTTTCAAGAAGCTTAAATAAGCTACAACACCAAGTTATATATCTTATGCTAACAAACCACCAGCAACCTGAACTTCAATTTTTTCTCCCTTTTCTCTTTTTCGGGAACTCTTATCCTAGTTTGGCTTTCTTGGAAAATGGGGAGGGAGGGGGCGCGGCTAATCCACAGAAGACATTGTAAAATCATACAGAGTTTTCACTTTGTCTGTACTGTGACGTTCCATTTTTAGAAAATGAAATCTACAGTAGGATACCACCAGAGGACATATTAAAGTTGTAGGGCAGATTTGAGTAATTTTAGAGGACAAATCTCACGTGCTTTTATTTCTTTGAGGACGTCTTCAACGGTACTCTCTTTTATCCTTCATCAAATAAGGAAAATGAAGTTGAACCCTGCCCTTCTAATTATCTACAGTTCTTAATCTTCTTAAAAGATTATTCTAATGAACAATTTTTTTTTTACGGTTTGTAATGACCATTATTTTGAATATACTTACGTTACAAAGCAGTGTGTCGATTTTCCTTGTCAAAAAAAAAAGTGTGTCGATTTTCTAAATTTAAAAAAAAAAAGTTGTAAGTGTAATAATTGAAAAGAATTATGAGTCACTGAGTTCTCATTTCATGGTGCGTGTTTAATGATAATTTTTAAAGTAATCATTTATAAATTATAAGAAGTACTTAAACTATATTATGAAGGTTTTTAATAATAATAATAATAATAGTAAACTAGTGCTTGTCACGTGGGTTGCACGTGGAATATGTGATGTATTATTAGTGTAAAAGATGTATTTCGTCAAAGAATTAAAGTTATTTCTTTTTACTAGTGCTAACAAAATTTCATAGATTTTAAACTATTATATAGACTTCGTAGTAAAACAAAATACAGTAACTAAACAAATATGCCATCTGATTAGAAAAGCAAAAAAAAAATATTTTCGTATCACCGCCTAGCATTATATGGTTACTAGTTTAGAACCAATGCTATTTGAGACCCAAAGTTATCAGAAATTCAATACAACAAGAAAAACATCATTGGTACCTTTAAGATGATATAAACACACAAGAAGTGAGAATTGCTACAAAGATCAAAACCTGTGTTCTGATAAACTATTTTCGGATTAAGCCATGCGCCGAAAACCAACTCCTTATGTTGAGTCACAACTTACAAAAACAACACAAATATACCTTGATTTCCGAAATTGTTTTTGGATATACTCATTATTAAGCGGGGGACTGGATTGGGATAAACTTATTACTAAACCACATAGTTTTAGCATTCGACAGGATTCATTTGAACATGGGATAATCCAGATATTAACGCTTATGTAAATTTTTTTAAAAAATTTTGGTAAAAAATCTCTTATATATGTCATTTCAAAGTATTAAAATTGTCTAGTTTAGCACAGAATATACATTTTTTTTTTTGGATAGCTATACTGCTTATGTAAAAAAGTTCTTACAAAATGGTAAAAAATCTCTTATACATGCCATTTCATAATGGTTCGGTATGTGTCTAAATTAACATGTCCATATGACATGTGTTTAAATTATAACAGCGAATATGAACAAAAAAACAATGGTCATTGATTTGTTAATTACATAAGTGACTTCTCTTTTTCAAAAAGATACATAAATTACATTTATTAGCAGTCTGATTCAACATTATTCATACATAATTACACACTTTGTGCCAATTGAATTCAAGTCAAAGAATATGATGATTCGAAACCTGCCATTTTCATGAAACAACATACAATAAAATGTCAAAAATAATACTAAATAAAGGTTCAATGTATATTTTACTATATTCTATTTTTGTCTCAGAAAAATAATCAATTTCATTAAAATATTTTAATGCAATGAAGTTGACTATTGTTCTGAAGACAGAAGGATTAAAAAAATTAAGAAAATAACTAAAAGTGCATCAAGGGATTTATTTTTTTGTTAATCTCTTGGACGAATAGAAAAACGTTTCGTTGTTTAGCTTCTAGCAAAAGGAGTTGTAAAATTCAATTCCAAAGTTGGATTTACTGCACCTCCCCATAATTCACAAAGAAATGATTGGTTATATGAAAAACACATACGTCTCTCGTTCCGAAATTCTATGTTGTTCAGTTTGCATTTTCAATTTTAGTACAAAATAAGTTAAAATAATAAAAACCTAAATTGTACACTAATTTTGGAACAAAGGGATTATAGTAATTTACATAAAAAAAATTTCGACCTCCCCCCTATAAACGGGAATGCAAATCTTTTTGGAAAAATGAAAAGTTTGTACTCAAGTTAATTAATATGAGTACATACAAGGCTAATTTGTTATACAATATATTGCGACCAATGGCCGAAAAATACAAAAACAGTGTAATACATGTCTCGTATATATGGAAGCAATACTGAAATGGGTAACCCATTTTGCAAATCGAACCAGGTCAATCTGAAAACTACTATTAATTATTTACCGAATGAATCATTAATTTACAGAGGACAAAATCTGCAACTAATTATGCATTACATTACACCATTCGAAATCACATTCAGGAAAATCCTTCCAGTTACATAACTTTGAAGTTTTAAAGTATAGCTACACTAAATGGTACGTTTTCTAGTTTTCTCTCAACAATATTATTTTCTTTCCTGATGGGATTAGGAACCAAAAAAACTCGTAGTATGTCAAAAGTCCAGGGTCCAATCGAGAGGACGTAGTTGTGAATTTGGACTCGTGATGACCAATTTCTCCCAATCGACGTGATCTTTGTTAGCGTATATAGATTTATTGAAGGAGTAGGCTTTGCTCTCTCAGGGCAATCTGCAATCTTAAATCACAGTTTGAATATAACATTGATTGATAAGGTACATTATAATAAATGATGGTTTGATCGTTACTCAAATCCACCTGCATTCAGTATTCAAGTTACAAAAGAGATTCACCCAAGATAAGATATTCAGTGACAGTATGAGGATTTAGCATCCGTTGTGATTATATTTGATTGAAACCCGTAAGATTAAGTAAATCTTTGGTAAATAAATTTTTTCTGGCCTTTTTTTTTAAAAGAGAACATGCTTAAATTTAATCCTATCCCCAAAAGAACAAAGATGATTAAAATTTCAAAGGTTTAATCAATAATCATACTTACCCAGCCGGCTGGATCGAATGCCATTGACGAGGAAAATGATGCCATGGAAATTAATGAACTAAAGGCGAGCGGTCAGGATGGAGAAGAAAGGCACATGAATTCTTTAACCCCCAACTTTCGTCATCATCACATCTGAATTCGAAGCTCATCATTTCCTAATTATGGTTAAGGAACGTTTTTTTTCTTTCTTTGAGAAAAAATAAGCAAGAGAGAAAGAGGGGGTTAATAATCCACGTGTCCTGCTTCTCCATCGTGCTCACTCATCTTCTCGTCGGTAAACCGGGATGCCTCTATTTTTTTTTTTTCGTTGTAAGTAGATCATTTCATGCACAAATAAAGGCCAGGTGCCTTGATCAAAACGGAGATGAACCTATATAATCTTGTTCTGACAACAAGGTTATAAAAAAGGGAGCGATATCAAAAGAATATATTCCCTCGTTCTTACCTAAAACTTATTTTGCTAGTACATCAACTCGTAAATTGTTTTCCCTAAACGGGTGCTTAAAAAGCACTTCTCAACCGCTATCTAAAAGATCCTGAGATGGATCTCAAATCAGATCCAAATTTCTGAATGCATTTAGGCTATAGCACAGTTTAATTTATATCTGTCTCGAAATCCTGGCTGTTTTACAACTTCTTTTGATCTTCATAATCAGATTCTATAGGGATGTCTCTTTATGGATGTAAAGACAAATATACTATAAGTGGTTTGTTAGACAATTTTAATCCTAATCTGTATTTTTACGCTCATGGTATGAGGAATTTATGATATGCATTTAACGGATTGACTTTCAAATGGACACAGTTACATTTACTTTGTCTTTTTCTGTTTTATATACAGTACTGTTATATATATATATATACATATCTATTTACTTTTAAAGGTCACAATAACTTTTATATTTTCCGCTTTATTTCCATAATTTATTGGTCGAAAAATTCCGCTGATATAAGTAATTTAGAATTGAGTAATTTGATTGATCAATTCATCAACTTCTACAAGTATTTACCCACATCTACTACTACTATTACTACTACTACTACACAGAAACCACACTGAACCCAATCGGCAACTCCCTCGGCAGAGATAATTAGAGATTTTGATTGTATACCGTATCAATCAATTGCAAACACCTTTTTAATTTTCACAATTAAAATTGAGAATTACTAGAGCAATTTAAATATAAAAAGAGGAAACACATCAATCTTTTTTATGAAAAACACCAAACAAGATCCAACAGAAAAGTTCCATTCGAAGATAAAAGTAAAACAATTTTTTCCAGGAACTGGAAAGGAAAGAAAACAAAGATGCACAAACACTCAAGCCACCTCTCTCAACACAAGTCGCAACATTTTACATATCCAGCTCTGAATCGGATTAGATGTACAAACTCGTTGCTATGCTCCCAACATCCCTGAATTGTATTTTCCAGAAGGCTGCTACTCAAAGGCATGATGATTCTAAAATAAAACACACAATTGTGAGTCGCCACGACATTCTACACTTCATCTAGGGTTTAACACAATAAGACATTACACATTTTAGGATACACGGGTTTTGATTAAGCGAGCAACCAATCGACAATCAACTACATTATAATTTGTTAATTGTACTAAAGATATATTTTATAAATTACAATGCGGCCAGTTTTTCTATGATGGAAAGAGTTCAACGCAACCTACCTGGAACGATAGCCTTTTGAGGAGGAGTGGTATCAGAATGCTCCAACCCAAGGTACTGCACAAAAGAGCCAGTAGAAGCTCTCCACTGCTTGGATTAGGAAAAACGGCTTCTTATTTTCTTTTTGAAGTTAAATTAAGGCGAACAACTACATAAATCACATGAAAACAAGAGTTTAACCTGAAACCGCTTAAATATGTCATCGGTGTCCTGAAGATACTCCGGGAACCCTCCGAATACTACAAATGCAAACTTCCACTATGATCCAAGACATACAGCGCAAAGTTAATTAGCCTGAGCTCGTTAAATTAATGAACTTACTGAAGAAAAGAAGATCAAGGGAAATGAAACGAAATTATTTGCAGCGAAGAAAGAACCACCTTTGAAAATTCCTCATACGGAACTTGCAACCTTTTCTGGATGCGGGGCTTAATTTCAGCTAAAGTTTCACTCTCATGAATGACCAGGAAAAAAGGTTCTCCAAAGTTCTGAATTCTCTGCATAGGAAAACGAAATAAAGATATATCATTAACGAATGGAACAGTTGAAAGTAAATACTAATTGGAGGCAAATCATCCCAAAACAGCACTTTCCGAAACTTTTCTGTAGTAATCTAATACCTGACGATGTAGTGTTGTTCGTAGTGTAAAATGATACACACAAATTAAAATGTCACGTGGACCAAGGTTCTTTTCTTCATCTGGAATCTGTAATTCAAAAAATGAGACAGAAATTCTTCGTCAATGTCGCATATAATCAATTTTCTCCAAAAGCGTCAGCAGGTTCGACCATAAACTGACCTCTTCAGCACGAATTCTGCCCTTTTGATCATTTATGTTTTCAATCTTCTCACAGAGGTGAGAGATCTTTACCTATTGGAATGACACGAGACATTTTTCAATACCATCCAAATACATACGAGAGATATAGAGGCTAAACACTATCTCGATTGGCAACATTACCTTACATAGCTTATGTAAGTAAACCTCCACCAACCTAAGCTCTGCATCCGGTTTTGACAATTCTACCTGTTTCAGGTAGCTAAGTAAGTTACAAAACCAAGTTAATGAAAGAAGAAAATAGGCTATAGCTGCTTTTCTCCCTTTTCTCTGCCTGGGGGATCGGAGGGGCACATCGCCCGGAAGATTTCACGTAGAAAAAATAAAGCAAGTGGTGAACTAAAATTCTCATCGACATAAACATCTTAAAGAGGCATTCTTTTCACTTTGACCATAATAATGAAATTCCATTTTAGAGAAACAAGAAAAATATCCAAAGAAAATGAAAATTAGTTAACCAATTAATTCTAGCATTACAAGTTGTAATGAACACATATATCTACGCTTACCATAACACGATAGAGATCCTTGTTTGAAAGAGACAGTTGATTAAACTTGTTGGACTATCACGGACGCAAATATTACTCACCATCGTTTTTATTTTGTTGAGTAGATCGCCAACAGTACTCTGATTTGGTAAACTAACCCGAATAATTTCCACCTGAACAATCAGTTAATATCAGGTACGATATATCTCAAAAGAAGTGGTCGCATGGAAACTCAAGATTACCTCATCTTTTTTGGCAGAGTGAAATTCAATCTTCAAAGTTTTCATCCATGAGGAAGCTGGGATGTCTACCTCTAGTAAATCACCTGAAGCAATCTGTCAAAGGAATGGACAGAAACTAAGCAATAATCGTAGTAATTACTAAAAGCAACTCAATAAACATGACCTGATATCCTAATTAATTGCTGCAATAAAATAGATCATCCATACCAAACCAATGTGTTATTCCTTTTACCACAACGTCATCACAAATGTGCTTCTTTTCGCTAAATAAGTAAGCTTATTTGATATTGCCTTAATCAGTTCAATGATTTGCTGATCTAAGTACTTAACTAGTCACAAACTGGGAAAGGGTTCAATTTGTTCCCATTGAGAGACATTGATCCCTGATAAAACTACAATTAACAAAGGGAAAAACCCGAAACCAAAAAAAAATCCATATAAAAGAACAGTTTTCAGAGGGCAGAATCTTTAATTATGAATAGTATGGAGCATCATGAAATCTAAGAATCTTTAAATGCAAAGACTGAGATTAATTGCAATGACTACTACCTTTCGATTTTTTATGGGCCTTGTGCATTGACAAAACTTGTAAATTGCACTGGAATTCTTGGCATGCGCGTGAATTTTTTTTCTTAATCCAACAGATTCAGGCTGATGATTTGCTGAATCCAACAGTTTCAGGGAAGATGCTCCTCCTCGGAAATCGGAATTTCCTCCGGTTTTCTTACTCAATTCCAAAAGCTCTTCCCTGAGCTCAAGTTCTTTCTCTTTCCTGACAAGCTTCCTTTCCTTCAATTCCACAAGTTTTGCTCTCAGCTCGATTTGCTTGGCTAAAATCTCCAGTTCCTCCTGTTTCTCATCTAGATCTCTGGCCCTTTTCAACTTCTTCTCCGCATTCAATATCTGTTCCCTGACTGAGATTTCCTGCAAAACAGAATTTCTTGTCTCCGCTTTTTCAGTCTTTTTCTCCATGTTGTGATAAGCAATCTGTTGTTGATGTTGAGCCTGAGTCACGGATGTTTCTTGGATTTTATTCTCCAGAAATTCCTCTTCTTCTTTGTTGTTAGCATCGACCCGATTGATCAATCTTCGGAAAACCCTTCTCATCGCGTTCAAAGCCACTTTCTCTGTCCCGGAAATATTCCCCGACGGTTCCATAACTCTGGATCTGCTGGCTCTCGGTGGCGCTTTTTCTTCAGTCTTACATAAAAAGACTTTCCAGTGGTCGTATTAGGGTTAATAAAGAAAGCTTCACTTTCAAATCAGCTATTTCCTTAGTGTTAGGAATATTATATTCATACGGAATCTTTTTAAATAGAGAAAAAATTATATGTGCAGTAATTGTCATTTTGTTGGTACTTTATAGCTGTAATTTTATTTTTCCTTCCAAATCTTACTATATTAGAAACAAAAACCACACTTAAAGAAAAAACACCATCATTTGTCATGTGACATTTTCACATCATATTTTTAAAATAAATTTTTATTTACAGATTAGTTTCCAAGACTTAAAAGACAAATGGAGTTCAAATCTACCGCCACTTCCTATTTTCGCCAAAGAAAAAAAATCATGGATTCAAAAAAACCTCAAATCCTCATCCCCATCTCCACGACAATCGACTCCCTAATCAATCCCTTCTCCACAAAAAAAAAAAAAAAACAAATTCCTCATCAATCATCAAGTGAGAATATGTGGTGAAATATCCTCCTTTCCTAGTAGCATATTCAATCTTTTCATTAATGATGATCAACTACATCCTAATGGGATAAAATTTCGGCTTCAAGAAATATTCTCTTTACCTCTATATAAACACAAAGGAAAAAAAAATTCTCATTGATATTGCTTCGACCGTTGTGGTGGTGCCATTACAGGCATTAAAATTTAAATAATTTTATTTTCACAAATCATTTGTTCGGCTTTTTTTATTTTTTGTTTTTCCCGTTCAAGAATAGTATTATTACTATTATTTTTATGCGACCACCCGTTACAGCTACCGTAGCGGTTGTTAGGTAATATGATGTGATTTCTTCTATGGTTACTTAGCCTTGAATTTTTGTATGATTTTAGTTCTGTTTGGATAGAATTGATCAATTAGTTTTTTGTTAGAGAGTGTGATTTTTTTAATTTCTTTGTTATGTTTAATTTTAATAGAGTGGTTTTTTTTTTTTAATTATGGAGTCTCAGTTTTTTTTCGTGTATGGTCAGTTTTGAAGTGTGTTTTTTCTTTGTTTAATTGCTTTCGATTTTGTTCCATACTCCCAGTTCACCAATTATTATTGTTATTATATTTTTTTTGGCAAATGAAGCTTTTTTTTTTTTTTTGTTCGGGCTTTCAAGAATATACTTTTTTGGATTTGGTTTTTGGACCTTTTTGAGTTTCTCATCATATAAATAGTTGATGTTACTTCTTCTAACTAATTTGTGGGGAAGTCTTTTTTGAATTTGAGGTGGAGAGGGAAGGAATGATGTTTTTATATTTATTTGTGTTTTTATACATCATTTTACCTACAGGAAAAAAATAATTTCTCAATTTTTAATGGGCTCTTTTACTTTCTTTGTTTTTATTTTATTTGTCGTGGTAAGGTGAGTTTTTTTTGCTATAACTTGAAACATATGCAAATTTATATTAATTTTCATTCTCATATTTGTGATCAACCTGTTTAAATAATTAACCAGTTTCAAACCCATATTTTTGATATTTTACTACCTTTAAACCTTTGGAAGAAACAGGTCCAACATTTAAGCATATACCCTTTGGAGGAAGCTTACTACAAAGTTATTATAAATCTCCAAAACTAAGTATTGATTTGACACGACCAATGGAGAATATCAATAAATCATCTTACTAATATTTAAAGTTATTAGGATGGTTTTATATTTTGTCTAACATTTACTTTAAGACATATATTTGATCAAGTTTATTTATATTTAATAAGTAACACTTATAAAACATTTCTAAGATGTTCAAATATTTCTAAAACGTAACGGGCCAAATACAATTTCTTTTTTTGCCAAACACAAACAATTCTATGATCACACTTATAAAACATTTCTAAATTCTTCGAACGTTTCTAAAATATATCGGGTCAAATACAAAATATATTTCTTTCAAATACAAACATTTTTAAAATCTAAAGATATACTGGGCCAGGGTCGCGCATTGTGCGACCAGACATCACTAGTCACACTTATACATCAAATTGTTTGTTAGCAATAGTATTAGTCAAAACGGTGGGTTTTGGGGATAGGTTAGAAAGTTATATTCACAGTTTAGGAGCATTATCAATTATGAATGATGGTAATTTTCTTTTGTCTCATTTCTTCTTCTTCCCTCCCTTGGATCTGATTCTCTCCCCTCGTTAATTCTTAATTCTAATTGAATCAAGTTCAAATAACCATAAATTTGTCCATTCATAAGATTGTTGTATATAATAGACGAGGCAAAAGCTTTATGAATTTTCACTCTATATATTGTTGTTCACAATAATAATGGATTTTTTTTTATAAATATTGTGATTCTTTCCAAGAATAAATTGCCAGCGTCCTTATTCGGCAGTTTTAGGCTTCGGTAGACCCCTTGGGCCGGAAATTCAGTTTGTGGTGGTTTGGAAGAACAATTATTTTGATGAGATCAATCTACCTAATGTGAAAGTAACAATAGACAAAGAAAAGGAAAAAAGAAACGAAAAGACAAATTCTAAGCGACTTTAATTGAATTCATTCATTCAAACATACTTAATCAAAATGCAACATTTACCCGCCAATGATAGATTGGAGACAGTGCAGATTCAACATTCCTTTTTCCACCAGGAGATGTTGAACTTGAAAATGTAGTTCAAGTGGGATATCGGTCTTCTCTGAACAAAGCTGGTATCACGGTACTTGACTATCATTTTAGATTGTCCATTTTAGATTTTGATCTCTGCAGTGCTTTGATCTCTGCAGTAACTGTAGGCAGAAAATACAATATTTTTTGTTTTAATTAGTTCCATTGCTGCTCCTCTGTATATGAATTGTTAACTACTTGTCCATCGGGTCATTGCTCCTCTATATATATATATATATATAGCCATAATAAACTGATTTTGTGTACCAATATTTTCATCAACTAATTTTGCCTCAATTTGCCTTTTCCACTATTGGACCAAAATTATATCATCCCATTCATCATCACCTTTGTTATATCCCGAGATTATTTCTTTTTTTTTTTTTTGTGGCTGGGAAAATTGATTTTGAATGGTTTTAATGCAATTAATTTATCACAGGCCTCCATTCATACAACGATTGTTGTCCACTTGAAAGCAATCAAAGATGTGACCTTGTCTATTTTTCTTTTTCTTTTTTTTTTTTAAATGTCGACGTGATCTTTGAACATCAATACTGAAGACATTAATTCGTACTTTGCACAAGGCACAGTGGCTGCCCAATAAGTTGCATCTTTTGTTTTAAGTAGGAAATTTACTGCTACTATTTCTTTTTTTTTTAATTTATTTTTTCAATTCTTTACACAATAGTACATAGTCTTCAGCTTGGTACACAATAATAAGCAAAAACCAAACAAAAATATGTCAGAAACTTAAAAAAATTATTAAAATAAAAAAATGAACAAACAATACTTTACTAACGAAACTCATATATAAAAGTCGACTGTATTTTGAGCCAAGTGTGTTGCCGTACAGATGTTTAAGAAAAATCAAGGGAAAGGAAAATATCCATGTACATTCTTCTCTCAACAAAATTCTTTACGGATAGAATACGTTCGAATTGCCCAAACGAAGAGGGCACTTCTTTTATTGTTATTATTATTTTTTTTTCAGACATGAACAATTTTTCGCTATCAACAACGATCCCCAAACAGTGGAACAACGTCTTGTTTCACCCAAAGATTTTGGTTACGTCATACTGGATAGTCCCCTACATGACTATTGGCTCGCCTATAGACATTCCTATACAATAAAACCTTCCTAAATTCATATACTTGGGCCTCCAAAAATTTATTAATTTATAGTGTTATTTATCAATTTATCAGTAAATTAATATTTAAAGAGTTTTTTTCAATCCAATAGATAAGAAAATACAAAAATTTAATTATACAAAAATACAAATATATCAAAAAAAGTCTGTTGCAGGCGTAGCCTTAACATTATAGATCTTTTAATGGAACAAATACATGATACATACAAGCATAAACAAAAATAATTAGGTCAAAATCTAAGTTACTCCTCAAATATAATTTATTGTTTTAGATGTTTATTAATTTATGAAATTATGGGGACCTATATTTACATAGAGTGTTCTTGAAAAATTACTATCTTATAAATTAATCGAGTTTTTTTAATTTTTTGTACTGGTCCCGAATTAGGACTGGAGAAAAATTTTACTTAATAGAGATTGTTACTTTATAGAGGATTAATTTAGAGAAGTTTCACTGTATTTAGTTTAACTTTTTGTCATTGTGGCCACATACCGTATAATCACATTCGAAGAGTAATGAACCAGTAAATGAAGCATTTATATAATAGTTCGGAGACATTAATCAAAGGCAAATTTAAAGTACTTATAATGCCATGGTCGAGAGGGTAAATAAGAAAGAATAGGAATGATGTGTCTCATGATTATGGAATTCCTTGATTTTCTTATTGGATGCACTAACCATCTCTCTCTTTCTTTCTCAAATAGTAATTAAGCATTTCATGTTCTAAAAATAATTAAACTGCATGTGTGATAAAGAAACATACTGCATGGGTTTATTTACACAAACTCCTTTAGAGATGACCATAGAAGCAGAGATGCAAAATATACATTTCAACAATCCCCTACAATAATGCAATAATAAAAATAAGCAACCTCTATAACTTCACAAGCCATTTCGGAGATGCTCATAAGCAACGATTCAACCCATTAATTAAATAATTATTTCTTTAATTAAAAAAAAAAAACAAGCGCGAAATTTTGTTATGCGGGTATCATGTTCAATTACACTCACTCAAAGATCCATCAAAACTTTTCGAGATTACGCAATCTAAAAATCAAGTGTTCAATTCTTATTCTCACCTTTGACATGATTTTTTTTTTTTATGACAAAGAGCAATAGTGTCAACTTCTAGAGATGCATTTGCCTCTCCACGTGACGCAAACTACTGATCAACGCTTTCGAATTCTTACCCCAACCTTTTCTTTCGATATAAATATACTATTTCTATAGAAGAATTTTCCGTTTT